GTAGGATTGTATCAATATTGTCTGTCTTCACACCACAGGCTATTTCTTTCACCTCAAAGAATATGCTTTCCCTCCTTCTTTAATTTTTCATCATTAACAGTTTAACTTCTTTTGATATTGGAAAGCTTTTGAAAGAATATTTGTGGATTTGGGTTTTCGCGTATTTGTGAACCAAAACAGTGCGAATTTTCTAACGGACATCTTATCACTTGCAAAAGTGAATCGCTCAACCCAGTAGTTGTTTTTTTTTTCTATAACCGATTTGTCCTTCTGCAACAGTGAATCATTTTCAGTTCTGAACGTCCTTGACTTTCTGCTGTGAAATGCTACCAGCACTTTACCAAAGTCGTTAAATCTCCAAGTTTTTCTGTTCTCAATATTAAAATGTTTTAGTCGTACATGTGTTGACTTAGGCGACATTTGGTAGGCATCATTAATTTTGATGTAACATGGATTTTGAAGATGATGCGGCCATTTTATCGCGTCTTGGAAGTAAGTTTATTTTGAACAAAAAAGGATAGTTCGCAATAAATTTCATTTCAGTACTCGAATCAAAAGAAGAAAGTCCTCATAAAATCCATCATCAACTCAAAAAGGCAGATGCGTCATCTGCAAGGGATCGGTTCGTTGAAGTCAACATCGATGGTACAGTCGACACCAAGTCCGATTCCGATGAAGAGCCAATTTTCGACAGAGTATGCTTTTTTTATATACCGCAATCTTTTGTTTTCCTTCATGTTCCTATTGCAATGATTTCTTCAGAACTCATTGTTATCCCCAAATAAAGGTGTCAAGGTGTATCGAAGGAAGTACGAACCGTACACTTGCGTCTACTTAGTCCTCTTATTGACTTACATCGCTGTGGTAGGTATTTCAGTCATAGTGCCTTATTTTAGTTTACCCTTCACTTATCTTCATTATATTACGACACAAACTAAAATTTTCAAAATTGTGGCATTTCTTTCCATCCCTTTCAATATTTCTAGGGAGCTACCTATCCTCTAGCATGGACGGAATATCAGCTGAAAACGAATATTCCGTTCATTTTGCTTCTTGAAAACAACATTGGGTCACTGATCGGTTGCTCAACTGGTTAGTTTATGTTTGACGCTTTTGATTGCGAAAACGAGAAAATAATTTAGAGCTTTTTTTTCAATCGAAAATCCACTACCTTCGATGCACTGTTGATTAGAATTCGTCTGTAGCAACAGTTTCAGGGAGACTGCTCTGCCATCGCGTAAATCTTATCTTCCTTTTATTTTTGGCATCTTCGTCCTTATGCGGCCTTTCTTGGATTGTTTTTGAGCTTCCGGAAGCAGTGGATATCAGGATTATCAGTACTTTGCTCGGCTTTGTCTCTGGAAACATATTATATGGTTGGTGACCTGCTATTTATCGTTTTGCAAATTCCGTATTTCTCCAACATGATCAAGCAACTTGTGAACTTCTCCATTCCTACATTTCCCTTCTCCATCCAAATCGTTCGCGCGGTGCGGTAACGTATACCTCAGCAATAATGTAATTTTCCCAAAAACATATTCTGCTTTATCAAAAGGAATTTCTTCATATTTTATTCTAATATACAAGCTACCTTGTAGCATTAATAGGTTTGTTTATATATCGCAGATACTTCCTAATTTGTGCTGTGATCCAACGACGCAGAACTCCAGTATCAAGAACTCTAGAAAATTACCAGAAGCGAAGCTTTACTGTCTAATATTGAGGCTATTGGGATTTCTGCAGGCCTATACCTACGAAGATGTTCGATCTAACATCGTTTAGGTTTCCCATCCTTACCTAAACGAGAAAGGTCTTGTTTGCTGTCTATATTTGAATAACTTTTGCAGCTGATGAACCTTGAAAGTAGTTATTGTTGCGCTTTAGATCGGTACTTCAAATGGGGTCAGCAGCACAGTCATCAGCAGCGGAAGATCTGAATTATCTTCAGGGTCGAATGGGCAAAGCCACCAGTTGACTGGATGTGGTAACGGTGCCCTTGTCCTTGCAAGTTGATGTTGCTGGGCGGACCGGATACTGCTCTGATCACCCTCTTTTAGCCAGTCTATCTAACAAATGTTGTTGGCAGCAGACTTTCTTTTGGCGAGTGAGTTATCCGCTTGCGGATGTGTTGCAGCTGAACTGTCGTTTTTCGACCTTTCGGCCGCGATACATCTACATGTAGGCAAATTACTTGTTGGACCAC